CCCCCCCCCCCCCCCTCAGGCCTGCCCGAGAAGGTGGACAAGGAATGCCAATGCCCTGACGTCGCACGACGTCATTCCTTCCCATCGTCTCGGGGGAGCCCCACTGGGCAGGTCAGGGCGGCTCCGGCGGTGATGCAAGACGGAAACACCCAGACAGGTGGGCGAGCGGGTGGTATTCTCAAGCCGAGTGAACACACGAACTCCCACATGTGGTTGGTGTCCATGTGTGTGTGCTTTATAAAATAGAGGGAGATGCCGTCGTGTCGGGACACCAAGGGGTGACAGCCGCCGGGAAGAAGAGGCTCGCGCGCCTTATGATTCAAAGGCTCAGGCAGGTCAGTCCGTGGGTGCACTTATGAAAAATACAGTTACCGGATAAATGCCCAGTATCTGTGTGGCTGCCTTTCTCTGCCTGTGTCAGGAGGTCCGCGATGTCAGCAATTCTGTCGGTGTGTCGCGTTCCCGGCGACCCCCAGCCCCTGAGCACCAGCAGCAACACCCGGGCCGTGGCGGACCCATCAGCCCAGCAGGTGAGCCAGCCGCGACCGACCCTTTACCCAAATCATTGTCATGTTGGTGGCATCCATGTGTTGCTGCAGGCTCAGACACCAGCAGTGATCAGGGGCCTTCGGCTAGCGTACAACCGCCGCCCACTCAGCCTCTTGCCAACACACTCTCATCAGCGTTTCGCGACAAGTTTGCTGCCACCGTGGGTCCCCCCTCACTCATGTCGCCCCTGCGCGGCGGCGTCACGCCTACCGGCCATCGTGCTGCTCACATGGAGGCGGCTCACCAGCCACAAGCCCAGCCGAAGATCCTACGTTCAACACAGGCGGCAGCGGCGGCTGGCAGTGGAGATTCTGGGACGCCTGAGTTGCCGCTGCGACGGGGGTGGGATGCAGGGGGGCTGAGGACACCCAGCAGTGGGGGGAGTGAGCATGGCGGCACGTATATGCCACCTCCGCCGATCCCAAAGGTAGGGATCATGCCGAGTGGCCACAGTGCTGATCCCTACGGCAAGTTTCACGTCCAGCCGGAGATCGCGGCAGCTGCCGCGGCGGCCAGCAGTGGGGACACGGGCAGGTCCTTCTTCGTCCCGAGACGTGGGTGGGACGGAGGGGGGCTGAGGACCCCCAGCAGCGGGGGTGCATCCGAGTTTGAGGCCGATGGCGCAGGTAGGTAGGATGGATACAGAATGAGAGGGCGGGGAGGGGTACGTACACACCGCTTCTTTTCTCTTGTGTGTGTGTATGCTGGCAGGCACGCGTGGTGGTGCGGCTGGTGCTGACAGCCTCGGGCTGGGGCTTGGTGGGCTGCCACCCTGGCGTCATCCACAGGAATATCGCCCACCACAACCCTCCCTCGGCCGCATCGTCCACCGAGGTGGCAGCTCAGGCTTCGACCCACAGCGAGTCTTTTGGAAACCTCCCAGGACCACCAGCAGCAGGAAGAGTGGCGGGGGGGCAACGAGCTGACTCTCGCCAGTCGGCCAGAGGAGTATGCATCAGCAGCTGCCGCAAGTGGGTCGGGAAGGTTGTTCCGCTTTGACAGCGGTGAGTGAGTCAGTCAGTCACAGCGGGGTTACTCGGTCGTGGAGGAAGATGGGAGGTATGAATGTATATTGATTGTGTGTTGTCTGGTGTGGTGTCGTGTTATGTATGGCGCCTCAGGTGAGGGTCGTCAGCACAGCAGCAGCAGCGGTCAGGGAAGCGTGCTCGGCAGCCACGAGCTGAGCTCTCGTGAGAGCGGGCCACAGCCAAGTCGGGGGCCCTTACGATCTCCACTAGGCGTTCAGCTGATCGATGACGACGGAGAGATTCACAGCGGTGAGTGAGTCACTCAGCCACAACGGGGTCAGTCAGATGGGGAGAGAGAGATACCTCCAGTCGCAGGTCATGTTATGACACTTCAGGTGGCCCCACCGTGTCTGATGACGACAGCGATGGCGGAGAGATCATGATATGGAAGAGGCCAGAGGTTGACGCCAGACATTCGGAGCAGCAGCAGGAGGAAAGCGATGACAGCAACACGAGCGTCATCCCGCAGGCCAGCCAGCAGCAGCAGACGGTTGGTGTGGGAACGGCCGTGGGGCAAGCTGCGGTGCGACGTGAGAAGGTTGTCCCAAGAAGGGGGTCGAGGTGAGGGAGCGATGGATGGATGGATGGGGAGCTTCGTTGATACTCAAGAAAGAGACTTTGCTTTGGGGCGTTGGTGGGGTGAGGGCTGGCTGTGACTTGCTGCTGGACTGTTCTGGTGTGTATGTCCTATTTTCAGCTGACCTAAGTGACTGCAGTGGTGTTAGCATGTGGCCTGACTGTTGCTGAGGAAGGGCATTGGGCGCAGTGAGGGTTACATGGACGCTGTGCATGCACCTGCGTCTTGAAGGGAGCGGGTGTATGCGACGGGTGGGTGGGTGTCTGGCTGCAATTGAGACATTGCTTGCAGGGGAGGGAGGACTGAGGACTTGATGGTATGTGGGATAGACATGTCAGGTGCCTGTGCGTTGGGTCAGTAAGGCTGGCTGCTGGAATCTCGTGCATTTGTCCCGTCTTAGTCAAAAATCCTCATGACATTACCACACATGTCCTGTGACTCATACCACTTAACAACGCTACGGCAAATGTGCGTCAGATCGGTGGTGGTGCAGGCTAAGATTGTCCGGATCTGTTTCCAGCTCGCCCAATTGCCAAGCTCGCAGGGGGCAACCGGAGGAGGAAGAGAAGGGCAGGAGATGCAAGCAACAATGCATTCACCGTGGCTGCCTTCCTTCTTCTTTACTGTCGTGCAGGTCGTCTTTAAAAGAAAGAAAGAAAGAAAGAAAGAAGAGTATGGGCGCGTGATAGACGCCTCCCCCGAAGCCATACATACGGCGGTGCATGACTCGCTTCCTACCCCTTGACGGGCCCACTCGTCAGGCACAGCGATGGATGCATCGATGGGCTTACAATGTGAGGTCGGTGGCGAACGCGCGGATGGCTTGGGTTGGTCAATCAGTTACTGGATGGCTTCTTGGGAGCGGCGAAAGGACGACCATGCACACGTTGACACCCACCCCTCATGTGAGCACACAAAACGCAGGACAGCCGTGCACGTCATCTGATGACTTTTGTGATCGCATGAGTGTCCGTTACTTCTTGCAGGGCCGGCAGGCAGTGCGTTAGGACTGGTGGTTCTGTCCTGTGTCGGCCGATGTCAATAAGTTGACGCACAAGAACCAGAATGGACGAGTAACCAAGCACCCCCCACACAAGCCGATTGTAGACACCTATCCCTCTCTCTTTGTCTGTCAGGAGAGGCGTGCGGCCCATGCGAGCGGTGCTGGTGCTCACAAGACAGTCATCATATCCCCAGTGTATTTGCTGAGGAGGCCCGCTGGTCTCGTGTGGCCTCCTTCCTGGTGGCTCTTGGTCCGTCTATGACGCTATCGACCAAGCCGGCATGACATCACCCAAATGGGTACGAACACACAGATACCTACATTACCAGCCAGTGTTCGCTTCCTTCCATCTCCATCTTTGGTGTAGGGCATATGTATGGTACATGCACTGAGAAGGAGACCCACCGATGTCGCTGCTCTCAGGTAATCAACAAACTTGACACGCACGTGAACCGTTCCGGATAGCCGGAGAGCTTTGTCTCCTGTCTGTGTGTCAGTCGGCTATCGAGGATGGGGAGCGCCGGTCGGTCCGTGCGGCTTCTTTCTGGCGCCTTGTGATCGAAGTTACCCAATCGATTGAGCCAATGTAGCCTCACCACAATGGGTACAGACACAAGTGGGGCTCGGCAGCCGGTCATCACTGACTTAAATTTCATCTTTCGTGCAGGGCATATGGGTGGTTTCATGAGAGAGAGAAGGGCGTGGATGTCACTGCTCCCACTGCTCTTCTGTCGTGGCTTTTGGCGGCTAATCTCTCTGCCTGGCGCCGGCCATGCCATCGCTGTGTGCCAGGCGTTGAGTAGGCAGGATCGGTGCATGTGTGTCTGGGCTGCTGATGTCAGTGAAGCGATGGGATTTTGGAGGGCAGCCCACGGAGCCATGAAGTGGGTCCACTCAGTGCCAATGAAGGTGAAGAACATCTCACCAAACACACCACTCATGCAAACCACGGCGTGAAATCATCCCATTGCAAAGGTCAACAAGAAAGGCAAGCCGTTTCGGTCCATGCTGGCTGGTCAAGAGCTTTTGAGCCTCGCTGAGGATCCACTAGAGGGCAAATAAAGGCTGCTCTGCACGCATCTCGCGCGTCAGACCTCCATCCAGCCAACCGGCAAAGGAGAAAAGTGAGCGGGATGGAGCAATCTGGCCTCACCTGCGGCAGCAGCCATCGTCTCTGCCTCTGTCTGCCTTTAATGGCTTCTTATTGTCCGCAGAAAACGAAATCCAGATGTGGCGAGATTTTCGCGAGCTTGAGACGCCTGAGACGCCCCTGAACTTTTTGCAACAAAGTTTCACATTTTTCGCCCGGGTTGGGCTTTCCAGCCTCATTTCGGCCACAGATCCTCCAGCTATTCATCTTTTCGGCTGCTTTTTGGCTTGTGTTGTCCGCCCCATCCCCCTCTACCCCTCCCAACTCGTCCCGATTTTTCCGCCACTTTTTTCCTCCACCGCCGTGCCCCGGGAGAGGCGTCGTTTGGTGGTGCGCTGCCTTCTGCAGAGCGGCTGGCGACTGGCTTGCGCCTGCCGAGTGCGCATGTGCCTTCTTTCCGCACAAACCGATCTCCAACAGGCGAGTACATATAAGTGTGGCCTCGTGCGTCACGTCTCTTGGGTGTCGTGATGGTGTGGTGTTTGGACGAAGTGCAGGGATGACTGCATGGAGCATCTCGTTGCCATGGGTGTCCTCAGATGCCTCAACTTGTCATGCCTGTGTGCGCAGATGAGATGGTGATTTCTTTTTCTCGTTCCCGTCTCATTTTCTCGACACATTCCTCTGAAGGTTGGAAAGTGCCTCACTGAGTCTGGTCCACGTCAATGCCCTTGTCTGCTGCCTTTCAGAAATGCGGTCCTTTGGACCGACGAGAAAAGAGACAGATTTGAACAATTAATTACCAGATTCCGGCTGGGAAGTTTTCACTTCCACGACAACAACAAGCCCAATCAGGAGACATGCACATGAGGTGCACAAGGGTACCCGCGTACAGTGCACTGTGTCAGAAATTCAGAATGCTCACTGCTTTGATGAGCAGAAAAAGGAGCTGTGCTTTCAGACAAATGCGGAGCTTCTGAGTAGCCAGTCGCTTCATTCGCCCTGTCACCAAGGGCTCTTCATCCCTTTTGCCTTCTTTTTCAGCTCAGCGAGAAAAGTCTTGGCTGCATGTTCTTCTTTCCCTTTCCCGGCGGCCGAGAAGGCACGTAAGTAAGGCAGAAAGCACGTAATTGCTCATATCTCCTCCGTGTTGCCAGACGTTAATAACGAATGCGTGTATGGTGTGTGCCTCCAGATACGAGAAACTGAGGATGCTGGAGGCCGCCGTGGAGAGCGACTGCTGCCGCGGGTAAGAAGGGGCTGCGCTAGAGAAGCGTTCGTAAGTCGGAATGAGACACAGAAAACGAACAGGCAAATAGAAAGGCAGAAGGACAAGATTGTCCTTCTGCAGACTGCGAATCGTCCTTGCTGCCGGAGATTTGAGCGATCACCCGTGCAACCTTTCTTCGATGGATTCCGGGAGAAGTGGGGGGGAAGTCCGTCGTGGTTCCGCGCAGAGGGGGTGCTCGAGGAGGTGGTAGGATCATGGCGGACGAGAAGTCTATTGTCGACTTAGCGAATCATGAGCTGGCGAGCGTAGGCAGTCTGGATGACGGTGAGTGCAAAACGAGTGTATTACCAACCCATCGACAGCTGCCCGCTGTCATGTACTCAGTTGAAGAGGATGCGTTCCCATCGGATGCCGGTGCTCCGTCTGCCGGTGCTCCGTCTGCCGGTGCTCCGTCCGCATCCTTCCTGGCGAGCACATCAGTGGGAGGTGAGTGAGCCCCGCACACCACACCGCACACGTCACAGTTGCGCCCATGTGTGGTGCTGTGTTGCTGGCTGTCTTTCTTTCTTTCTCAGACAAGAGCATGACTTCACTGCATACCCAGAGCTGTATTGTACCCCAATCCGACGGCAGGCTCACCAGCAACAAGTGTCGCACGCTGCCACCAAAGCTGAATCCAGCTCCGTAAGCAGGACGCCAGTGCACAGCCAGACGTGACCACTGAATGTGGGTGTGGTGTGTGTCATGTGATTAGCATCGTGGGCAGCACCATGTGTTGGCGGTGTGAGCACCTGGGTATGATAGAGAGTCTCATACGGCCAACTCCCAACACACGCAGGCACCACCTCTATCTGTGCGGTTGCAGTCGATGAAGACGATGAAGACGATGAAGACGATGGACGACACGCTTAGAAGAGCACCGGTGAGACCGAGCTCGAGAAGCTCGAGAAGGGATTAGACGTGACCGCCAGCTGGCTGAAGGTGAGCCTCGCTCAATCGCATGCCAAATTTGCTGCGTACAGGCAGAGAGGGGGCACAGGTAGCTGGGCAGATGGGCAGTTAGCTGCCTGGGAGCGCTGCGTGTGTGTGGCGGCACTGCACACATGGTTGGCCTCAATTGGTGCTGGTTCTGTGGGTGTGGTGTTGCAGAGCTGGCCCGTTACGACCGCGGGCAGCTGCTGGGGCTGTGGAAGGAGAAGGAGCACCTGCAGGGTAGGCCCCAACACCAGCATACCTCCCTGTCAGTCGCTGTCACTTCTTTATTACGACTGGGTGTGTGTGATCCGCGGCGTGCAGAACTTGTGAATAGGTGGCGGGGGAGGCAGCAGGCCGACGCAGAGAGGCTGAATAAGGCGCTCAATACTATCGAGAAGGCCAAACAGAACCAGGTGCGTGCACAGATGTGGGTCGTTGGCATGTCGGCTGGCAGATGTCCTTTCTGCCTGCGTGCCCGTGTGTGTGATGTTGTGAGTACAGGAAATACTCGTCGCCGCTGCCGCCAAACTGGAGGTCAGAGGCTCAGTCCTCCTCTCCCCCTACTCACAGACACACACACACACTCGCTGAAGGCCATGATAGCCAAGCTGTAGCAGGTACACATAGGCGTACTGTACTCCACAGACAGATCGAACCACACAGAGAGGACCATTCATGCGCACACACCCAACACACATATGCTTTGTTCGTTCGTTTGTGTTGCCCATATCAGCAACTAGAGGCGGCGACCACCACAGCCCACCAGCCGTCCACGGCGTCGGGGAGCCCGGCCTCAGCGTCGGCCTCCCATTCGCTAAGCCCTCACCTCCCCCCTCGGCCGCTCAACGCAGCGTGCGAGACGCCGCCCTCCAGGCGCAGGGGAAGAAGATCGGGCTGGTGCGGGGGCCGCGAGGCCCCCAGCATCAGCAGACACAGACAGGAGAGAGGAGGTATGGATGTCGGGAGGATGCTGCTTCTTTCACCGATGTCTCTGTCTCTGCTGCCATGTCTCTGTGTGTGTTTTGTGTCTTCAGCCGCAGTGTATCGCTGCCTTCATTTTATATCCGTGGACATTTTCATTTCACTTCAGCGGCGTTGGATTCCCAACCGCAACAGATGCGACAGGTTCGAAAAGAAGACAAGTCGATGAACTATACAATCCCTGCCTCTCTTTCTCTTTGCTGTATCTCCGTCCGTCTGCTTGCCTTTATGTCTCTCCTGCTACTCAGGCGATATCGGCACTGATGTCTCCCCTTTGTGCTCCGCAGCAGCAGCACCATCAACAGCATCGTCATCAGCAGGCCTTCGTCATGATGTGGCTGCCCCTCCCCATGTGCCCACCATGAGGCCACTCGAGCGGACCCCCGCTCATAGGCGTCAGAAGGCGCCCGCACCAAGGCCGCCACGCACCCCTCGCAACACGTGGCCATGGCAGACGCGAGTCAACCCCTACACCTGCCCGCCCTGCCTCCGGGCTCAGAGGGACGAGGGCGAGGAGAGCGGTGAGGAGGGAGGACAGCAGGAGAGGGCACGGGAGAAGAAGGGCTGTGCTCGCGACTTCCAGGCGCCAGGGAGCCCATCGACGGCGGCCGGCCTTATCCCGTCCGACGGCGGCTCGCCACCTTTGCTTGTGGCCCTCCCTGACTCGCCACAGCCACCCGCCGCCCAGCCCAGCCACTAACCGCAGCACACCAGGGGATCGAGCTGCTGGGGTTCCAGCCATCCGGCCGTTATGGCGCGGATTGAGGACAGGTTTGGGCTCATCGAGGGCCATACCCCCAGCCGCCCGCGTGATGGTCAAGACGCTGGTTCCCCGCGGTCTGCACAACTACCACCCCCAGGATGCGGCGGATCTCATCGAACGGCTGAGTAGGAAGGCAGCGGTCATCAAGGCCATCTCGGGGCTGACGGGGAACGGCGGGCACCCCATCACCCCAACCATGGTGGCATGCGGCGACATCGACCCCCTGTCGCACCTGCCCCTCCGGCTGATGAGTAGGGAGTGGCATGGGTACCGGGAGAGGAGGTATGCGGAGGAGCGTCCCAGCGGCCCCAACAGCCGCATGGAGGTGGAGCTCGACGGCTACTACATCATGTGCCATTACGCTGGTACGCCCGTCAGTGACACACCGGGAGGGGGACACACAGGGGAATACAGGGGAGGGGCAGGCGTCTATGTGGCTGTCTGTCTGCTTGCTGTCCTGTGTGTCCTGTGTATTCAGCGTTTTCGTCTGAGGCCACCATCGCAGCCCTCGACGCACAGCCCCATGCACAGCCGTCCGCCCGATTCGCCCCACTCCCGCCACCACCTGGGTTCGCCTCAGGGAGCGACGACAGCGACTCAGACGACGACGAGCCAGCGGCGCCACCTGGAGAGGAGACGACGACGAAGAGGTGTGGGTGGGTGATGAGGGTGAGGAGGACGACTGGGTGCCGGACGAGATCCGCGAGATGTGGGAGGAAAAGACGGTTGAGGAGGCGAGGAGAGCGGCCGAGAAGGCCGAGGAGAGCGGCTTTGTCATATCCTGCCTTCATTTTATATCGGTGGGCGTATTTCCCCTCTTTCCGCTGCTTGCAGCCTCCTCGGAGACCTGCGTCGGACAAGGCGTGGCTGAGGGTGATGACGGTTAGGGTAAGCTTCAAATTCCATCTTGGAAACAAAATGTGAATTTGGAGTTCAGATAGAAGGTTTGCTCATACACGGATCGGTGCAGGGAGTCCACAGGTGTGTGGGACAAACTCCTCCGGCACTGCCCTGATTGGTATGAGGACAAGGACGATACGTCGCTGCCGGCCTGTGTGTGTGGTCATCAAGCCACCCCACAACCACTATTGTGTTGTGCTTTGTGGTATGTGTTAGGGGGGCTGCCGCAGTCAAGTCGCTGTCCGAGGGCGGCCTCGCCTTCATGACCAAATCCATCCTCTTCGGCCTCAGTCAACTGCGCGAGAGGTGTGTGCGTGTCAAAGCTGGCCAACGCCGGCGACATCGCGCCGCCCTATGGTAGGGTGCAGGAGCCCTCCCCCCTCCCACAGCAGCAGCAGCCGGCCATCACCGAGGCACCGACAGGGGCGCTGCCCGTGGCACCCCGCCCTGCAGCCGGTCATCAGACTGGGGAGGGGGCGGTTGACATCGTTTGGGTGCCTCCCGATGGCTGGAATGGCCTTGAGAGCAACACCAGGGGCGCTTCGGACGTGACGACCAACTACGAGTTGAACAGCACCATCCGTTCGCGGATGCACTGGCCAGCGGTGACTGCCCCCGACACACAATTCCACGGCGATGTGCTTGTCTTAGAGGAGCGCAGTTCCCAGCGGTGCCGCGACGTCGAACAGCTCATCGCCGAACAGAACCCCCCAACCCACTTGATGTGTGCTGCTGTCCTTTTGTCAGTGAGTCGTTTGTCTAATGACTGATCCCCAGCCTCGTCCCGGTGGTTCCTCAGGTGGGTGGCGACGGGTCCATCTTACGATACCATTTGCGTGCCTTTGCTGCTTCTGTTGACGCAGGAGGCGTCTTCAGAGGGCCTGCAAGATGCTGGGGGTGTCTGAGTGGGACAACAAGGGGCTGGTCCGCCACGCCTACCACAAAGGCCCTGCAGCACCACCCCGACAAAGGAGGCACGAAGGAGGGCTTCCAGCGGCTCAAGAGGGCGTACGAGCTGGTGAATGCAGCGGCGCCGGAGCCACCCAAGAGCTGTGAGGAGGGCGAGGCCACGGGTGCGTGCCTCGACAGGCTGAGTGGTCTGTGCCCTTAGTGCGCCAAGATGTACCAGGTGCGTGCATTGCGGTTGAGAGAAAGTCATGTCTCTCTCACCTGATGTTCGTTTCCGCTGTGTGTGTTGGGCTCTCGTCAGACCAAGGCGTTGAGGGAGATGACGTGGGAGGCCGAGGCCAAGGCGCCAGTGGCAGAGGAGGAGGCCCACGCCGCGACCACCCCCGCCGCCACGGTCAGAAGCCGCTCTTCCTTTCACACCGACCAGGGGCCGCCCGTCACCAGCAGGGGGGAGGGGCTCTGGAGCCGCTGGTTTCCAGACCCCTTCTGCACCTGCTGCACCCACCCCGACGGCAACTGACGGCTGCTGTTGGTGGGTGTTGTCAGCCACGCCCCCAACAGCAGCACGTCGCACCTGCGTAGCCTCGCCCCCAGAAGAAGAAGGACAAGAGGGACGGGCATCCCGGTGAGGCGAGCTGTGGATAGTGAAGTGTCATGAGTGCTTCTTCCGTCATGTCTCTGTACATGTATGTGTGTCTCTGTGCAGCCCGTCGTACCGCTGTCTACATTTTATATTGGTGGACATATCAAACCCTTTCGACGCCCTCAACATATCCTCGCACGGCCTGCGCGACCACCATCAAGCCCCGCGAGGAGGCCGAGCTGGTCGAGCGGCTCAAGAGGGAGGCAGCGGCCGTCAACGCCATCTCAGGTCTGACGGAGGAGGGCGCCCACCCCGTGTCACTTACACATACGGGAAAGAGGGGGACACACAGGGGAATACAGGGGGGAGGCAGGTGTCCATGGAGCTGTCTGTCTGTCTGTCTGCTGTCCTTTGTGTCCTGTTCATTCAGCGTTTTTGTCTGAGGCCACCATCGCAGCCCTCGACGCACAGGCCCCTGCACAGCCGCCCGAATTAGCCGCCCCACTCGCCCAACCACCACTGCCCCCACCACCTCGGTTCGCCCCAGGGAGCGAGGACAGCGACTCGGACGACCACGAGCCAGCGGCGCCACCCCGAGAGGAGGAGGAGGACGTGTGGGTGGGTGAATGTCCTCTCGTCGGTCAGCGGATTGCTTAGAAGAGACATCAAGGCGATCAGCCTATAGAGGAGGAGGAGAAGGTATGGGTGCTGTTTCCTTCATGTCCTTGTCTGTCTCGCCATGTCTCTGTCTGTGTCTTGTGTTTTCAGCCGCAGTGTATCGCTGCCTTCATTTTATATCTGTAGCCGTCTTTGTTTATTTCACTTCAGCGGCGTTGGATTTCTTACAGCAAGGAAAGCGACAGGTTAGAAAAGAAGACCGGAGGGATGGAAAGAGTCCGATGAAACAAACACATTCTCTGCCTCTCTCATTCTCTACTCTATCTCTGTCCGTCAGCTTGCCTTCATCCCTCTGCTATAGTCATTGCCTTTATCCCTCTGCTGGTCGACTACAGCCGAATTCAGCTCATTTGATAAATTCTCAGCTGACACCAGCCCATCAAAGCTCTGACAGGTCCTGTGAGTTGTTGCCTGCCTTGCCTGCAGGTCCCACCTCCATGAGGTCGTCTGGCAGGACTCGGATGTCAGCGACTCAGAGACGAAAAGCCTCAGCGAGTGCGCCCGCCAAATCAACATACTCCACGGCCTACTGGACAAGTACTGGGAGGAGCTGTCGGACACTGGCGGCAGACCGGACCTTGACCTCATGAGAAGGAAGCACATGTACTCTGTCGCCAGTGAGGTGCGCGTACACACAGAGAGAGGGAGGGAGGTGGATGCATCATCCCTCCACGGTGGCATTTGTTTTCTCTTGGTGTGCAGCTGGAAGTGCAGGTGGCCGAGATCCTCAAACGGCACGAGCAGCACGTCAGGAACAAGCCGACCAGTATCATCAGCCTCCTGACCGTGTTGGTCATCCCGATGCTGGTCAAGATCGACCCTCTCAACGATGCGGCCGACCCCCTGAACGAGAAGCACTATCCAAAACTAGGAAGGGTGCGTTGAGGGCCCGCAGTGGGGCAATCGCCTGGCTGTCTATCTGTCTATGTCTGTCTGCCTGTCGGTGCTGTGTTCAGTTGTATCTGCAGATGAGCAGTCAGGACTGGAGGTTCTCGAAGTACGAGGAGGCGGTGCAGAGGACCCTCGTCTTCCACACTTCACGGCCTGCTCGAGAGGTACTTTGCCGAGCTAGAGGACACTGGCGCCAGACTGGACCACAACACCATCGCCACAAAGTACTCTGTCGCCGATGCGGTCCGCGTACACGCAGAGAGAGATGGATACGTCCATGGTGAGTTTTGGTTTCCCTTGCTGTGTGTCGCGCTTGTATGAGTGCAGCTGGAGGCGGAGATTGCCCTTATCTTCGAGGTACTGGAGAAGCACATCAAGAGCCGGCCGACCAGTGTCATAGGCACCGTCACGGCGCTGCTGATCCCGGTGCTGGTCAAGATCGACCCTAACAACAAAGCGGCCGACCCCATGAGCGAGGACCACTACCCAAAATACGAGGGGTGCGCTGAGGGGCAGTGGGGTCAATCGCCAACGACAGACACCGGCCTCTTGGTGTTGTGTTTCAGGCATATTTCTCGCTGCGCGAGGACGAGATGTTCCAAAGGTATGTGGATGCTGTGGAGACAACTATGCACTTCCAGAAGGTCGGGGTCCCGAACTCGTACATGCTGGCCTTCTTCCGCCACCTGCCCCTGGGCGAGGCGCCCCCTGCGCCACAAACAAGAGCCACCAAGTCAAGCGCCGACACAAGGACAAGATGGCCCAGTTGGAGCAGGTCTTCAGGCAAGGACAGGCGCCGACTGCAAGTCATCCAGCAGACCCTCGCCCGTCTGCAGCTGCCATCTGAAACCACACGCCGGCTGGTCAATTCAACCCCAGGGAGACAGTCCTGAGGCGCCACCCCGGGCGGCTGCAATGAGAAGGAGAAGGTAAGGGCGAGGAGAGATATGCTTCATCCATGTCCTTGTTTGTTTCGCCATGTCTCTTTCCATTTTTTGTGTCTTCAGCCGCAGTGTATCGCTGCCTTCATTTTATATCGGTGGGCCCATTTCCGCAGTGTTTCGGACCATCAGAGTCCCACAACAATCCGACAAAGACGTAAGTCATGTTCGATAGAAGTCAACAAGCACACAAGCCTGATGAACGTGTCCTGCAGCACCAGCAGCACCAGCGCGGCACCCCACCCCACGGCTGCTGTCCTTTTGTCAGTACCTCGCTGATGGACACCCTGACGTCGCCCTACTGGAGATACAGGACGATGACACCGTCCGCGGCGCAGCCCCGGCCCAAAAACTGATCGCAGCCGACAATGGTGGGTGGCGTCGAGTCCATCTTACGATACCATTTGCGTGTCTTCGCTGCTTCTGTTGGCGCAGCTGCGGCGTCTGCGGCGTGCCTGCAAGATCCTGGGGGTGTCTGAGTGGGACAACAAGGCCCTGGTACGCCGCGCCTACAAGGAGAAGGCCCTCCAGCACCACCCCGACAAAGGCGGCACCAAGGAGGGCTTCCAGCGGCTCAAGAGGGCGTACGAGCTGGTGCATGCAGCGGCGCCGGAGCCACCCAAGAGCTGTGAGGAGGGCGAGGCCACGGGTGCGTGCCTCGACAGGCTGGGTGGTCTCTGCCCAAAGTGCGCCAAGATGTACCAGGTGCGTGCATTGCGTTTGAGAGAAAGTCACGTCTCTCTCACCTGATGTTCGTTTCCGCTGTGTGTGTTGGGCTCTCGTCAGGCCAAGGCGTTGAGGGAGATGACGTGGGAGGCCGAGGCCAAGGCGCCAGTGGCAGAGGAGGAGGCCCACGCCGCGACCACCCCCGCCGCCACGGTCAGCAGCCACCCGTCCTTTCACACCGACCAAGGGCCGCCCGTCACCAGCAGAGGGGAGGGGCTCTGGAGCCGCTGGTTTCCAGACTTCTTCTGCACCTGCTGCGGCTTTCCAAGAGGACGAGTAAGCTGGGGAAGAGGTATGGGTGTCGGGAAGATACTGCTTCTTTGACCGATGTCTCTGTCTCTGCTGCCATGTCTCTGTGTGCGTTTTGTGTCTTCAGCCGCAGTGTATCGCTGCCTTCATTTTATATCTGTGGACATTTTCATTTCACTTCAGCGTCGCTGATTCCCTACAGCAAGGAATGCGACAGGTTAGAAAAAGAAGACAAGTCGATTGTCCGCCACGCAGAACATCCAAGGTTTCCTGGCGTCTGGTGCGACCAACCGTGCCCTCTTCATCTCCCAGACTGTCGCGAGCATCGGGTGGATCTTCTACGCCGCCGCATTCTTCCCTATGGGGGTGAGCGAGGTGCTAATGGATGGATGAATGGCGGGGCTCGTTGTGATTTTGCCGTAATGGCGTCAGCTCAACAACACCGAGGGTCCTGGGATGGTGTTCGGGTGGATCATTGCCTCGTCCTACAAACTCGCCGGTGACGAAATGACACAGAGTGACGGGCAGGCCAGGGGGCTCCCCACGTCTCGTGTCTTGTGTTGTGTTGTGTTGTGTCTTCAGCGGTGTGTTCCTGCCGACGACCGCCCCCAGCTTCTGGGTGCACCTGGCCATGATGGTCTTCTACGGCCTGGGGCTCTTCGTCGCCACCATCTGGGCATTCATGTTCGAACCCACCATCCACTGGGTCGGTTGGTGGGGGGCCTTACACGCAAAGACCACACAGAGTTCGGGATACACACGACTGACTTTCTCGTGTGATGCGTGTTCTCCTCGCAGGAGGGGGCTCCGGGGATGTATGCGGAGAGCTACGAGTTGGCCCCCGCCCTCGCACCCAAGCCCGTCATGGCCACCACCATGTCGTGAGCAACCCGCCGCAACAATACAACACGACACTAGCACACATTGGATAGGGGGCACGTAGGCAGGCAGGGGCGGGAGGGAGGGAACAGCGGGCGCCGGCGTATCAGACATACGGAGTTTTAATAACGGGGGATGTTTTTTAGAGGGGTTCGGCGCTGGACTTTTCGTTGCGGACACCACACACTCTCACGTCCATTGTTTATATCACACCACCACATCCACACGTTCATGGAATGTCCGTGTCTCGACTCGATCTGTTTTCCCATCAAGTGACGGCAGCCTTGGCGGCTCACAATTACGCCAACCCATGAATGCACCTCTCTGTCTGTTAGCTGGTCGGCTCCAGGCACTTGCGCTCTTGACACGCCCTCTCGGCCGGCTCATACTGGCCCAGCTCGAGCGACCGGAAGAGGGCGTCTTTGGCGAACTCATATGCGCCGAACATGAGGAAGCCGCCAATGCCGATCCACAGGACGCGCGGCACCACGCCCTTCATGAGATGGAATACGGCCTCCTCCTGGACGATCTTGACCATCGCATCACACACACCCTTGTACTGAAAGTGACACGCGCACATGCACACACACAGGGTGGTTGTCGAGGGTTGAGATGGCCGGCTGGCTGGGTGGCTGACCGACCTTGATCTTGCCTCCTTGTGTCGTGATTGACTGTGTCATGATTCTCGTCTTGCACACGTCCAGGGGCGTCGTGGCCGCCCCTGCTATCGCGCCTACAACCACACACACAACAGGCTTTCTGTGTCTGAGTGTGCGTGTGTGTGTGTGCGTGTGTGCGTGTGTGTGGCGACCTGCCAGCGCCCCGCAGACAGCCGATTGCATTGGCGAGAGCGTGTAGATCTCATTCGTGTACGACGGCCGATCCCGCATCTTTGAGATCTCATAGTGATACTTCAGCTTCTCCCTTCAACCACACACCACAGAGACCAAGCGAACCCTTTCCCATTTGAGTGCACTCGTGTGTGTGTGTGTGTCGCACCGGCCCACCCGCTCGCCCACCCACCAGATTGCGAACTCGAAGGCGTCGAAGGGCACCTCTCTGGCAAGCTGCGCTCCATACCCCCTGAGCGACGTAGATCCGCGACACGGCGGCGCGTGTTGACAGGGGGCGGTGCACGCTGCACTGCATCTGCTGCTTGACCACCGCAAAAGGCACCCAGATAACACACGCGACCACCTGAGCGGCCGATGCCGCCAGGAGATGGACCACAAAAGGCGGCAGCACACCTTACTTGAGGGACATACAGCACAACCAAGGGCAGCGACCAATCCCATTGTGATCAGCACTTTCTTACTGCTTCGTTTGAGAGTGCGTTTGGTCCACTCATAGGTGGCCCAGAAAGCAGCCGTGCCGGGGAAGCTGCCGAGCAGTGTTGGCGTCAGGCCTGCATCAGCAGCAAATCACGCACCCACCCACTAGTTTCGGCTCCGAGCTACTACCTGTACAGAGCGTGCGGATCGCCCGGAGGCCGCCCCTCGTCAGAAGACTGCCCTTGGTCACTGTGGTCATCAGCCCGCGGCTGGTCCAATTCACCAAGTGCAAAATGCTGTGTCGGCAGCCGGGCCTGCCTGAGCGTCTTGTAGTGGTCCAGGGGATACAGCACCTGCCGTGAGAAAATCAACGAATCAATGACAACGCAGAGATCACAGCAAAGATCTGTGAGTCGGCCATGCATCTGTCCATCTGTCTATCTTTTCATCTCTCACTGCATCTGCAGCCATGCCGGAGAGGCCGCCAGCTGCAAGAATCGCTGCACACAGTCACACAGCCACACAGTGCATCGCTGCGAAGGATCACATACTCCACGCCTGCCTTGGACCTTCGCCGCGCTGCGAGCTGTGCGAGCTTTCGAGCTTGTTTGTTTCTCGCATTTCCCTTTTTGTAGAGGCGGCTGTGAAGCGACTGACCAGAGCGGATGCTCCCTTTTCAGCCTCTCTTTCGATTCGCATGCACAGCTGTCAGTGACTGTTGCGTCGTTGTGGGAGGCTGCTGAAGGAGCTGACACACCCGGCCCGCTCGATTCAGCTACCCCAGTGAGTGACCAACTGTTCAGGCACATGAAAGGCTGCATGTGATTGTGTGTTCAGGTCTGCTTTGCCCACGGACGCAATACGGCGGGCGTTTCATTCATTCATTCACTGCCGGTGAGGCAACGCAGACAGCACCGCACAGTGACCGTCAGTGAGCGTCACACAGACGGCAGTGCCACCCACCGTCGCTCTGATGTGTTTGCCTGTTTGTGTTCCATTCAGGTACCTTCCTGCCTGCCATTGCGGGGAGCTGAATCATCTGCTCGAGTCAATCGCAGTATCATCCATCGCTGACTCGGTGAGTGATGACCGACCCGCCGGCACACACGAGCGGCGGGCCTGAAGTTGTCTGTGCCCTGGTGTGATTTCGTCAGCTAACAGTGAACCGACATGTCGGAGCAGCTTCGTTTCCTACCTCTGTGGAATTATCATCTCGGCGACGGTTATGACGACCGTTGGGAGAACACAGGTACGCACGCCAGACAAGCGAGAGGGGGTGCGATGAGACACCCACAGACACTCATTTACTCTCTGTGTGCGTCGTGTGGTGGTTGTGTTGTGCTGTGCTGCAGGCGTGGCTATCGTCCCTTTGACGGCCGCTTCGGTTCAGGTGCCGATGCTGGCTTTGGGCGCCGAAGACATTGAGGCTCGATTCCTCCGGGGCACCAGCGAGGCCACCAAGGACCTGGCAGTGGGCGTCATCGGCCGCACCCTCACCAGCCCACACGACGCGACCGCACTCATTCGGCAGCATGGAGCCGACCCCAAGATCGCGCCTCGGCTGCGGGAGAAGGGCAGCAGGGAGGAACGCAGCAACAGTGATGGGTTCGGCTACTCGCTCCTGAGTCTGGCCATCGACAACAAGTCGGACAACACCGTCGGAGCCATCTCAGCAGATGGGGTGCTGACACGGAGTGTGGCCCTGCCCCAGTGGCCCGACGGGCTGCAGGAAGGCATCCTCACCGCGCTCATCGACGGAGGCGCTGACCCCACCGCACTCAAACCCCTTCAAGTGGCGATCAGCTTTGCCAACGAGGCGGCCTTCGATCTGCTCATGGCGCGTCACGACCTATCCGGAACTGACCTGCGCGGGTCGTGGTTGATGGGGCTGCCCAGGCCGCTGTCTCCGATCGCCGCCCACCAACGCCCCCCGCCCACCCACTTTCTGAAGGTGCTCATGTCCATGTATCAGCGACTCATCCAACGAGACCCCACCCTCGCCACCGCCACCGAACCTTTTCGCGATGACGTACGCGATGGCTTCAACCTCGTGCACAGAGCTGCCGAAGTTGCGAAGGGCCTCTATCCCCAGTGGTTCATGGACAGCTACCTGGACCTCATCGTGGCGAACGGGGCCGACACGATGGCAGAGACCCCCCGTCTCGGAGAGACGCCGCTGGACTTGGCGGCAGAAGAGGGCTCTCCAGAGGTGGCCGACTACCTCTGCCGCAAGCTGCCCGCTGACCAGATCGACAGACGGGAGGCCCGCGACACACCCCTCGGCAAGGCTGCATCGTGTCTCGATTGGCGCACCCGGACGGTTCAGGACCCCTCCATCCTCGAGTGCATCAAGGAGATTTACGATGCCCCCATTCCCAGATACAAGATGACCATCCGTGCGCTGCTGCGGGCGGGGGCCGACATCAACAGCATCCACACCTCCTACGACACGGAGAGAGACCGCTATTGCCGCCAGCTGGTGCTGATCGAGCACGCGACAGTGCTCAACGAGCTGCCGGGTGCCGTCATGTCGGCCGTCAACGCTGCACTCTCCCCCCATCGCTCACTTGCGGCCCTCCTGACCCCCCGGCTGGCCGTCGGCCCCCACGAGGCGCCCATCTTCGGCTGGCGGATCGCATCTTACCTCTTCGACATGGCTGCCGCCCGGGAGGCCATCAGTGAGGCGATCGGTGTGCGGCACAGCGTCCTGGCCCGACGTGTGCGTGCGGCTGTCGAGCACTTCGTCCGTTCGGCAGTGCTCAGGGCCATCAGCAACAGGGAGGTGGTGGGCCGCAAGGAGACTGTGGGCGGCGTGGTGGTGCGGGTGCCGCTGCAGTGCTTCGCCATTGCCGATGGGGCCGGCCGTCTGGGGCTGCGTGAGGTGGTGCACAAGGCGCGGCTGGACGAGGCGGCACTGCATGGTGTGGAGGGCGTGGCCAAGGGCTTCAACGAGCACCTGGGCGATGACGAGTGCCAATTTGCGTGGCGGCAGCTGGGCTGGCGTGTCGAGGGCAGCAGTGGGGGGGAGCTACTATCGCTGGGGATCACCTGACTGAGAGGGGAGAGGGAGTGATGCGTCGGTTGACGCCCGACACACAAGAGCGAACACAGTCGATACTGCTGATGGATGAGAAATGACTGTTTTTGGCTGGCTCGTCTCCTTGCTCCCCTTTGCATTGCGTTGCCTGAGGGGCGAGGGAGGCATTTGGCAAACTCGGTTTTTGTCTGCATCGTGTGATTGAGTGGGCGTGTCGGGTGTCCGTGTGTTGCGGTTTGCTGGCTTGGGTGCAGCGAGGATGATCTCGGGTGGTGGCATGGCTGCTTTGTGTGCACTTTGTGCTGCTTCCTTAAGCCCGTTGGAACACAACCGCACGTCTGAAGGCCGGCTCATTGCAAAGGTGTGTGCCTTGCGGACATCTTGCATGCTTGCCCCTCTCTTTGGTGTGTGCACTGACTACTTAGATACGTGACCACGATGACGCTGACGCATCAATTGTTCCATCCTGGCCATGGCGTTACATGCATTGTGACTGATCGATCGACAACAAGCATCAAACGATTTCACACGCACTGAGGCCATGAACGGTGGGTCACGCGCGAGGCCTGGACTTCTCTACGCAAGCACCCGCTCATACATTCCCATGCACCCACACATAGCCCCACACGCGAAAAGACAGAATCCCAAATGCGTGCATACAAGAGCTCGTGAGGCAGGCGGTGAGGCGAGGCACGTGAGTGTAGTTCTGTCTGTCTGTCCTGCAGCGTCGCTACGCTAGTTACATTGACAAACACACCTCTTCAGGCAGCACTGTACACCTACGGAGGACAGACAGAACTGACTGAAGTGACAAGCACACAAGGGACTCACTCGTCGGTCAAATGAGCTCGATGACCAGTACACGTGCACGGTCGTTCAGCAATGCAGACACATGTGTCCACAACACGTCTATGTGCCCGTACACACATACATCTTTGATACACACAGACATGAGAAAGCCATAACACGTCATGCCACCGTTCACAGACCCAGGATCACACCCGGATGGGCGGCGACGCGAATCATGCCCCCTCGTTGTGAATCTTGACAGCGATTCCCTCAGTCTCTCTGATATGGCCGGTCGTCAAGAGCAGCCACTGAGCCGACAGACGGAGCGCGACTCGCCGGTGCCCTCACCCCCCACCTTCAATGTCGAAGGCCAACACGTCTTCCATAGGATTGGCAATTTGCCACTGTGACTGATTTGGACTTCTCTCCGCATACGCACAAACGGATGAGTCGATTTGCTTTCTGCTGAGCCCAGGGCACCGCAGACGTCATTGATTACCCTCTGGAGGCCTCAGAATCAGCAAAGGGCCTCATCTTCCCCGGCGCCATTGGCGAGCTCAGATCGCTGCCGTCCTCCTCCTCCCGCTGCCTCGTCTGTCCGCGAGATGGCCTCTGTATCGAGACGTCCCCCCTGGGGTTTGCTGCTGTTGGGGCTAGTTTCGTCGTGACGGTGATTCAGATGAGCGATTTGGACGAGCTATCGTGTGCAGTGGTCCTGCGGAACGTCACCATGGTGCGCTTGCTGCTCAACAAGTACGGCGTAGACCCCAATAAGCTTATACGCGGGATGACGGACGGAGTCACGGCTCTTCACGTGGCGGCAGCGCGAGGCAGCCTCGATGTGGCAACGGCGCTGATTGATCGTGGTGCTAACGTCGACCGGCTGTCAGATCACCGAATATCGCCCTTGTGCGTGGCCGTCATGGTCAGCGACGGCGCCATGGCCGCATTGCTGTTAAGGGCTGGCGCTGACGCGGAGCTGCCGTGCCTGAATCCCGAGGGAAGCTTAGCTGATTCGAGTAAGGATGGCCTCTACATGAAGACACCGCTCCTGATTGCAGCAAAGTACGGCAAGCACAAGGCCATCGAGGCGCTATTGGAGCATGGAGCCAACGTGGAAGCTACCGACCCACGAGGCTTCACGGCCCTTCACTTTGCCGCCAGACAGAAGGACTTCTTTCACACTCGTCTGCTGAGCACTCGTCGGCATGCAGCGGTCGCCTCGCTCGTTCTCCGTCACGGTTTCCCTATGCTTGACGCGACTCAACAGAAGGGCTGGTCTGCCTTCGATCTCGCTTGCCGCGGGGCTCTCTTCACGACCGCCAGACAGATGATCGAGCTCGGCGCGGCCGGCGGCCGTTATGCTCCCCTGCTCAAGCTACCGGTTGCTGTGTTCAAACGATCTCTCCTCGGGTTGGGTTTCATCAAGCTGTTGGAGACTGGGCATGCTGTTCGGCAGACCGTCGCTGAGAGGATGCGTCGCGCCATAGTCCGTGGACACGTAGATACGTTTGTGGCCTTCGAGGTGAATGCGACCTGGCCATCAACTATCCTCATGGAGATGCACTTGAGCTCGTTCTCGATACAGAAATCCTACCGCTATGGGGTGACAGGAGGAACTTTCAAGCCAGATGTGGAACCTACAGCAAGGGAGGCCACCAACACTCTCAGGAGTCTGAGTGTCGTAGAAGGCGGCTCGCCTGAAGTGTCGCTCGTCAAGTGGTGGCTGTATATTGCGATCCTGGGCGGTATGTGTGGCTGTGTGGCCGTCGGGGTGGGGCGTGGGCAGTGCACGGCCGAAGACAGCCGACTCGACGGCTCAGCAGCGGCACGGCAGGCGCCAGATGGGACGGCGAGGGCGATGCGCGGCCAAGAGAGGCACCGTCCCACCCCAGGCGCACGAGCAGATGTCGGCGAGAGCTATTGTTCAGCTCAAGAGGGACCTACAGGAGGGCACAGATAAGAAAAACAAGTAGGGCACAGACATCGACACGTCACCCGCAATTGCCATGGCTGTGCGTCCCCTTTGCAGTTTGTCGCATCGCTACGAGGAGCTGTCGGCTTCGCACCGACATGCTGTGGAACGAAAGAAGGAGCTGCAAGAGGCCATACGAGGCCTCAAGCAGACCGCCATACCAGAGTGAGTGAGTTGGGGCAGCGCCATGTTGTCGTCTGACAAATGCACTTTCATACCGTGTGTGTGTGCTGCGTTGAGTGCAGGCTGAGCCGTGACGTGTTGCTGTCGTGCGAGAGTGCTGCTGATGCCCGTGCCTTCGGTGAGAAGGTCCGACAAGAGCATCAGCGGCTCGACCAGCTATACGACGCAGCAAGCGACGCGGCACGAGAGCGAACCACTGCAGTAGTGGCCAGTGAGAGCCCATCAACAGTAGACACGCCAGCCAGGTGGGGCGGGCAGCCAGGCAGCCCTCGCTGTGGCCGGCTGTCCTTCTGTGTGCGTCTGTATGTTCTCAATCAGCTCGCCGACATCCTGTCGGTCTCGGGAGCAGTCGGTGTCGCCCGAGCCGCCACCAACAGAGGTCCAGCTGCGGAAGATGCTCCAGGTTCTCAAGGCCGACACAAAACAGTAAGTGAACGAGGCATGTTGCGGCGGCTCTGTTGCCTAGTGGATGGGTCTGTCACCCACTTTTGGGTCCTTTTGGTCAGGTTGGAGCTGGGCATTGCGGCGTTGCGGACCAACTGCGACAAGACGACAGCATCCTTGCGGCCTCTCGAGGATGAACACGACGAGCTGCTCCAGGAGGCGACCAAAGGGTGCGCATCAATACAACAGACAGACAGACACATGGATGAATGGATGGATGGATGGATGGACGCATGATCACTCGTCTCCCAGGTTGACAAGGGAGCGTTTGGCTGCCCTCAGCGACCCCAAGGCCGTCCATGACTTCAAGCGGCAGATCAAGGAGAGGCAACAGCAGCTGCTGGCCCTCTACGCCGAGGCCAGCAAGGCGGAGGAGAGACTTGGGGGTCCTGGTGGCCAAGTCCCCGACCATCGTGTGCTTCCCCTGCAAGCATCAGAGTCTCTGTGCGGCGTGCTACGAAGGGCTGCTGCGCTCTCATGAGGCGGCCAAGAGAGAGAAGCAGCGGCTCGAGAGAGCCCACAGGCGGCTGCCAGACGACGTACGGCGTGATGCCGTCCTCAGGTGCCCCTACTGCAGGGCGACAGCTGAGTATGCCAGCGTTGCATCCACATCACGACTTAGATACAGCTGGGGGGAGGAGGGCGGGAGTTGTACAGTCCTGGTTGTAAGAAAGCTCGACTGCCTGTCTGTTCTTGCCGTTCTTGCTGCCTGCATAACTGCGTCAGCTGCGCAGGGTAGCAGCCATTAGCTTTCAGTCTGGTGTACAGTGTGTGCCGTATGTGGTTTAGGTCCCGGCTGTGTCTGATCTGTGCCGACTGCGGCATATGTGTGTGTGTGTGTGTGATGGACTGACTCGATCAAGACAATGTACTGATACGATGCCGACGTGTCCATTTCAAGTTCGTCTGTGCAGCCACCCACGCACAGGCTCAACCAGCCAGCATCCAAAGGCAACCATGTCGGAGAGAGACATGGGGAGAGAGGGAAGCTATGAGAGATGCAGCGGGATAGTAGCGGGGTGGATGGGTATGGGTGTATATTCAGTGCCTGCCTAAGCGCATCTAATCCGTCGACATGTCAACATCCATTCACACGCCAGCATCAGGCAGCCCCCCTCCGTCCGTCAATCTGTACAATACCTGGGTAGGTCACTCATCACCATACACATCGCAGCCATCCTATGCAGCACATAAGTGTCGTCAGCTGAGAACGGTCCCACTGCCCCTTTGCTCTGAATGATCCACCACACGATGGTCGGCCTGACAGGCACCACCACCAACACACACACAGAGGTCAATGAACACGGTCACAGAAGTAGCCCTTCTTGTCGATGAGTGCCGTTTCCTCACCTCAGGCATTGCGAACTGCAGTCATTGTCACCCATGTGCCCACATAGCCACTGATCCTTCTGACGGTGAAGGAACCGATGTTGGTGCCGACAGGAATGCAGGTCACGAGGGAATCGCGCTGCTCAGCTGTCGTCGTCTTGACTCTCAGCTCCACACACTGCAGGCCCCTGATGCGCGGGATCACCGACAAGAGCTGGGTGCGGACGAAGCTGCCAGCATCCTCCACACCGTCGGGCACTGAAGGGGAGGGAACACACACACACAAAGGCAGCAATGAGGACGGACGGCCACACTACCCCTTGCTCTCGGCGTACCTGTCAGATCGAAGTATAGTCTCTTGATCGTCGGCAACTCGTCGGCCGCCCCCACCAGCAGTTGCTCTAGTTGGTCGACACCGATGTCCCCCATCTGCACCGTACGCACCTCCCTCGCCGTCCCCAGCGACGCCAAGACGCCCACCTTCTCCTCGGCACCCGACACCCTCTCGATGTCCACCCTTCCCACCTTCTTTGGCATTTTGTCGGCCAGCAGCCGGCCAGCTGCACCACCCAATTTGCTCCGGACAGACAGCTCTGAGGCCTCTGGGAACGGCTGCATGTGGGCGATGATGGCGGGGTGGGGCGATGGGGTGTTGGCGGGGGGATGGAACTCGTAGGCATTCTTGACCTCCACCGATGTGGCCTTGTCGAATGAGAGTGTGGATGCGATGTCGATGGCCGCTGGGCTGGGGTCGGTGTGCGGGTCGGTCAGGCCGTCCTCAGTGAAGAAGTATGACACCGATGTGGCCTGCTACGCCAGCTGCCGCAGCATGGTCTTGAGTGAGGGTGAGGGGCGGATGGGCAGGCCCCTGTCGCTGTCGCTGTGGTACAAGATGGAGAGGTCAAATCCCGCGTCTGGGAGCTCGAAGTTGATGTGGGCGTTTCCTCGGCAGCACCTGGTGACCAGTCGGTCCAGGGCCAGCAGGACGCGCATGGTGGGGCGGCCGATGAAGAACCTGGGGCAAAACTGCACGTCCAGCTGCTTGAGCGACCCTCGGCAGCCGCGGGCCATGAGCACTTCCTGAAGGCAACAACACACAAATATGGGACATCATGAGCCACCCACGCTGTACATGTGTGTGCGTTGTATTCACCTGAAGCCGCTCGATGCCCGTCGGATTGTCACCCCAGACCAGGATGGTGCCAATCCTCTCCAGCTGGGCGAGTGGCCCTCCCTGCGGCCCAGCAGGCGCCGCAGGGATGCCCTCGAACACACTCGCCCACTCGTCACCGTCAAACATCCACATCCCGTCCACACACCGCAACGAGCGAGACGAGCCGATGAACTGGCCTAGACTGCCGGCGTCCCAACCCTCCTGCCGCACGACGGCGAGTGACGGCATCAGCCAACGTCGGTCAGCCAGCACCTCATGGTCGTCGCCCCACAGGCCGGCGATGGTGGTGAGTGCGTGGAGGGTCGGGGGTGGGTCGAGAGGGGCTGGGAGGGGCGGATTTGTCCGGGCGACGCTCTGCCTCGCTGTGCCGGTCAGCCGAACGCCTCTCTCGATGGCGATGGTCTCCAGGGTCCCTCCGGTGAGGTTGGCTGCTCGTCGGCCGGCGATGTGGCCCTCTATGATGGCCACAAAGACGTCGAAACACCAGCGGGGGAAGCCGAATGGGTATCGGAGGACGATGGTTGTCAGCTGTCTGAGATATGTGGCCCATTCCCCGACGAGGTCGATGGTGGTCCTCTGCCAAAACGACCGCTGGTCTTCGTCAGCCGCGCTGATTGTAAGGTGGTGCTGCTTGCGGACCGCGTGCTGCCATGCGAGTGGCGGCAGCTGCAGCTGGATGAGCAGATGAATGGGGACGAAGGCCATGACGATGCTATGGAGACCGGGCTACACACAACCACACAGCACACGGGACGGCAAGGGATGTGGATATCCATCAGTGGATGGCCTCAGTGCATGTGGTTGGCTCACAGGTGCGTTCCCCCAGAAGCGTCTTTCCCTCTCAGCCCGACGCTGCCGCTCCTCATCGCTCTCACTCGCACCACCACCAGGCTGAGCATCAGAGGAAGAGGCCGCCATTGTGGTGGGTGAACCAACCTGTAACCAACAACAAATACATGCAACCAAAGGAGGATGCATCAATCAGCGCATTGAATGAGTGGCGCCATCTCACCTGCAGCTGATGCGCCCTCTGTGTCTTCTCGTCGGTCTCAGTTAGCTACGCTCCACCTCGGGTGGTCGGCGTGTCTATTGGTCCTTCCTGCATCCCTCACCTGGCCTCGGTCGCCCGCTGAGCACCCTTGCCGAGCCCGGAAGTGTCCCTCAGTCGGGAAAGATACACCAGCTCTCCGTACCTAGACGATGTCAGCGATGGCCAATGAGCTGTCCTGACGCCCTCCTTCACACGTGGACATCAATTGCGAGCTCAAATGGAGTTCCGTTCACCCCTTCGTCTCCTTATTTTGCCTGCTCGTTTAACTGAAAGTGTGTGTGGTCTCACTGAGGAGGCACTCGTGGGAAAAAAGAGCAAAACGAATTTGGCAAAGCAGAGAAAACTGGGAATTCAATCCTCACTCGATCCCGAGAAAGGGGAAAGATTTGGCAGCCCCGAGGGCTTCAGAGGCCTCAGGGAAGAATATGGGTGACGTCCACGCTGCCCCAAATCGTCCTGCGCCTCTTCTTCTTTTGCGAGCCTCCTCAGTTTGTGTACCTTCCGAGCCGACCTGAATGACGGAAGGTAGTACAAGGTACACACACGATCAGAGAGAGTCAGAGAGAGAGGGGGGAAGGAGATGGTCTGAGTTCTCTTTTTCTATGCGGTGTCTGTTGTGCTATGTGGTGTCTGTTGTGCGAGGCAGCAGGGCATTCGCCACAAAGACGGAGGGATGGAGTCCGCATTGCGACGGCCATCCTTCCTCGTGTGCACATGACTACAAGCGAGTGCACTATTCGCTTTCTCACTCTGTGCGGTGCGACTGTGTCGGTGTGAGTTCAGGCGCCGCTTCCCGTGTGCTCGATGCTCCATAGCGAGGCGAGGAGAGTGCTACGCCATCCCACGGCCACCGTCACAGATGACCTCTTTATGGCCTCCGTCGACCAACTCTTCGTGCCAGTGAGTAATGACTCGGCAGCCTCGAGTGAGTGTGAATGTAAGTGTGTGTGTGTGTGCGCGGCTGTAGGTCAGAAAGGTGAGGGAGGCAGCCTCGGCCGTCGTGAGCCGCCATGAAGCAGGCAGGATGTTCGACTCGTTCCGGTCCGCAGGCACGCGGCTTTGCGCATCTGTATACAAACACGTGTGGACACACATATACATACATATGTGTGTGTACGTATATATGTGTGTGTGTATGTGTACAGGTTTGGGTGTCGGCGGCTCTGCAGAGGGCAGAGAGAGGCGGCTGATTCGATTGTGTCGCGATGGCCGACCGCGACAGAGAAAATCAAAAGTTCAACTCGTACGTCAGAGGGCCACTCACGAGCGTCATGAAGGGCGCACTCTCCACAGCCGGCGCCTCTACCACTTTGAGCCGCACCATCCCATCAGCAGCTGACCTGACCGTCAATCGGGCGAGAAGCAGATCGAGACACTCAAGGCCACACTCACTCGCCAGGTGACTGACAGGCAGACACTCACCACTGAGGCAGTGACTGATTAATGAATCACTGTGAGTGAATCAGGTACTCAGCAGCGTTCAGCGCCAGGCCGTGATCGACATAAAAAAGATGCTCGACGACGTGCGCACTGCAGCCGCCACCAACCAAGACGCGCTCCGCCACCTGACCCCAGCCGACAAGACGCGCCTGGTGACGCTGATCGACAGCGCACGACCGTCCATCGAGACAAAGTGGGTGCGCACGGCACTGACCTGCCAGAAAGAAAAAATCACTCACCTGCGTGTGTTGAATGCATTGGATGGACCAGGATGAAGAAGCTGATGCCGCAGGGCCGTCGCTGAGTCAGTGAGTGAATTAGTGAGGCGCACGTTTGTGGCTGTTCGGCCGGCTGCACAGACGTGGGTGTGCTTGACATGACTGTTTGACTCTTTTTGTATCTCTGTCTTTGCTTCGTCTGATGATATTTCTTTGTCCCTGATACGGCCTGCTCTGCATCACTTGCTGTAAGTGTGTGAGTGTCTGTCAATCCGTGCTTTCGACAGACACACAAATGGATATCGTGTATATGGGTGTATTGCGTCATGCCAGTAGGCTGACTATCAGGCTCACTTTCACTTCAGAGGAAATGAAGCCACAACACGAGGTATACAGCAGAGACGCCGCACTTGTGCGCGCTGTGGGTAAAACCGACAATCCATTCGTATCAAAGTCGATGGAAGGCGGGCAAGAGCTCAGTCTTCCACGGGAGTTCACAGTACGTGCTGAAGCGAAAGCCACAGCCTGGGCTTCTCGACGGAGGCGCGTCATGCACCCACGCGCACATACCATACACTCACTCACACAGCAAGTTGCGCATGCGTATATTGGTGATTGTCTGCTGCCGTCCGAGTGGCGCAAGAAGCTGTCGATGGGATGGACGGGTCGAATGCGCAGTTGTGGTGTCCGCCGGAGGCTGGACAAACGCGGCCAGCGACGAAAAACAGCGGCGAAAAGAGCAGTGCTCCTGCGCAGCAAGAGAAACCTGTGCTTGGTGCTGTGGTCAGCAAGTAGGAGGGGTCGATTCCAAATGAGAAGAGACAGTGTAGGCTCTTGGTGCGCATGTGTGTGCCTGGGTGGGTGGGTGGCTGAGTGGGCGTGTCGCGGGCCGCTAAGCAAGACCGCGGAATGAGTCAGTAGTCACCCCGGACGGACCGGGTTGACCTTCGTGTGCTCGTGGTGCGCATGTGTGTCTTGGCGGTCGGGTGTGGTGTGAAGCGGGCGGCACCCAAAACCGCCAAAGCCAGTCAGTGTGGGCTAGACATCCATACAGCACATGGTGAGTGGACCAAAAATACAATAAATACGCAGTCGATCAGTCAGTCAGTCAGTCACTCAGGCCTCTTCACGCATCTCACGCACCGCATTGCACCCATCGTGACCAGCCATCAAGACGGAACACGCATCACACGAGCGAACAATCGGCAGCCACGTCTCATCCAGCACCCATCCATCCAGCCAGCCACTCACACCCACACAGGCTCCAATCGTGACGGACAACCACCAACCAATAAATCACCATACACCAACGTCTCGTGACGTCAGCCTCCCATCGCCGATGTACGTTAACATCACAACAAAACACTATCCCTGCGCTGTCTGTGAATGTACGTACGCACACGTGTGAGAAATGCAGCACGACCGACACACGAGTAGGCAAGCCACTTAGAAATCCGACATCCATCCATCCATTCATCCACACTTACATTCACGCAGACTCAGCCCGTGAAGTGCCGTGAGTGTACGCTTGTCGGTTTGCGTGTCATCCTGGCGCAATGCGTGACAGGGATGACACACAAGCCGACCGAGAGACACACCTCACACAAAAAGGGTGGGTGGGCTGTCATAAACTCAGAAAAGGCTAGTCTAGCTAGAAGGGAGACAGACACAGCGCACCCACACACAGCCAGCAGCGCCTTCATCCATGCATTCCCACACGACAGCCCCACGCCTCACATATCTGTCATGCAGTGGATAGCGAGTGCCCAATGTTTTGCATAGGTGTATCGGCACCGGCAGGCAGCGCACGGGTGGCACGACGAAGCACGGCATGCAGACCGCCACACACACACAACAAACCTTCACCCATTCGCCCCGACACAGAGAAAGAAACCCAGTCAGTCTCGGTTGGAAGACAGGGCACAGTCGATGGGAAAAGCTTTGTCTCTCTTCTCAGTCGACAGGCAGACAGGCATCATCTCGTTGACGCCAGCTGCACCACACGGGCACAAGCAGGGTGGGGGGGTCACACTGCATGACAAATGACGTAAAAAAGACCAGCCATCAAGACGGTACAGGCATCACACGAGCGAACAATCGGCAGCCACGTCTCTTATAAATCCAGCACCCATCCATCCATCCATCCACACACGCTCACGCAGCCCCCGAGCAACAGCCGCAGTGCGTCTCATTGGCTGGGTGGCACATCCCACGTTCACGCGGTGACCACAGCTTAAAGGCTGTCTGTCGGCCACACACGCGCCCATGAGAGGCCAGTCGACCAGCCAGCCGCGCGGTTCACCCATCAGAGTTCACGCCTGCACCAGAGGATGGTCCAGTGCGCGCCCCCTGACGGCGGACACGTGCACAGACAGACACCGCAGCAAAAACCCATACCCCCACACCACTCCCCAGACACACAGATGAACACGGCAGACATCCGCCAGACGCGTGTGCGCGAAAAGTACCAGGCAGCCATGGCACTCACAGCCAGTCAGAGAGAGGTCACAGGCCCGGTAGTGGTGTGTGGAGACCCACGCGTGACGGACAGACCACCAACAAATCATTATACAGCCACACGCAAATCGCCAGCAGACATCCCCATAACACCAGACACGCCACACCATGAGGTGGCAAACACCGGACACACGACAGGCAGCCGAACGATATACAGCGGAGTGAGTAAGTCGAATGAACCGTACCGTGGACCAAAAAAAAAAAAAACGCAGCCAGTCACACGATACACACGACACGGGCATGGAGCATTTGTCTGAGGATCTGTGTGGGTGACACCCTGAGAGGCTCCCTGCAGGTGACGAGGGCGAGGCTGCCGGCGAGGTTGGCCACCATCAGATGCGCCGCGCGCTTGACCAGGCCATCGTCACCCTCGACAACGAAGTTCTTCAACACCAACTCACCAGTCGTCACACACGATATCGTCACTGGACACAGCACACAGACAACAAAGGGAGATTGGAAATCAGACTGTCTGTTCTTGACTAAAGGGTGCGGTGCATGTGACGCACCTGATCGCTCCACTGCGAGATGATCTCCCTGATGGCCGAGTTGACGGCCTTGGGTGCGCGGCAACGTACATTTGGCTGTATCTGGAAGAGTGCGATGGAGGGCCTGATCTGCACCCCAGCCTGCACTTGAGTCACCAACGCACCGTTCATCCGACCCTGAGACTCAGCAGTCTGCCACACACATACACACATCACATGCAACCATGTGCACGTCCATCCACTTGCACTGTACCCCTCCCTCCCATGTGTGTGATGCCCTCCTTCCTACCTGTAACTCTCAGGGCACATTAGGTGGCGGGAAGGAAGGCGTTGATGAGCGCCTTGTTGGTACACAGCACGGGCTGAGGGCCACTCGCCCGCCCTCTCTCTCAGCCAGACTGACTCACCGGTGTGTTAATTGGCCGCGCCATCTGGCATCACTCGGGCCCCCCCATCAAGGCGTTCAAGACCGCTCACTCACTGAGGAGTGAGTGCACGGCTTATTAACCTGCAGACAGACAACAAACACAGCGAGACATCCACACAGGTCGGCCCGTGTCTGTCTGTCTGAGTCGCGTGCGTCCATGCGTAGGCACCTACCCAGACGGGAAGGGCCCTGAGCCGACGGCCTGTGATGTGCGGCCGCACCAAGACGTGCGCCACCGTCTGCACGAGCTCCTTGTAGAACTGCACGATGGACACGGGCGAGGGGGAACTGTATGCTGCCGGTGCACCTCAGGGTCAGAGTATGCCAAGGCGGGAAAGCGCTCCTCTGGTCGCGGTTCTTCTCCAGATGGGGCACCGATGCTTTGGGCGATGAGGGAGCAGGGCTGACGCGCACCCGAGGGGAGCTCGATCGACGTGGGCTGGGGCTGCCGCCTGTCTGCCCTGACGGGTCCATCGATGACCCGTCTGGCAGGGCCTTGAGCGGCACCGACGACACATGCACCGGCCGCGATGCCGTTACGGTCGAGGCCAAGAAGTGCCTGCGAGGCGGCGCGGCGCTCTCCATCGGGGCCACCCGGTCCGAACATGTTGAGGTTCACCTCAGCGTCGGCGGCTGACGACATTGCTGCCGGCGGCTCCTGCTGCTGTGCCGCGGGCTCGTGGTCGCCAATCCTGAGTGAGTGAGCAGCGGACAACGCACACACACACATATACAGACATACAGAAATGTGTGTGGTGTGGGTGGGGGTGTGGACACTTACTTTTGTATCTGTTCAGTAGCTTCCCCCAAAGAAGCTTTGGCGATGGACGCCGTGCCCAGCTCACGGTTCTCAGGGATCTCCACCAGCGATGCAGCCGCTACCGCGACGCCGACCATTTCTGCCTCTTGCCCGCTCTCGCGAGGGGCGCTGTAGGTCTGCACTGATGCAGCCGGTCGGCTGCGAATGGTGCGGCTGGGGAGGGGAGGTAGGTCGGCTGCTGAGTGTCTCGCTCGTAGTAGAGCTGGCCTTAGTGTGTGGGCTGCTGTGGCCGACGGGTCTGCCGGATGGCCTCGCCCGTCAAGCGCCGAGTGAGAAGGAGGTTGGTCTTGAGGTCCTTGA